GTTTGTTGTCGTTTGTCGTTGTGTAACCGCAGAAAGGGAGTAGACAATAAGAGAAAGCTAAAAAGAAGGAGAAAAAAAGAAGATACTGAAGCAACCCAGAATTGGTCTAGGCAAGAGAAAAGGGTTTGTGAAAACACGAAACACGATTCGTCGTTTTTACGGACAATCCACTCGTAAAACTTCCACCGGAATTCGATTTGAAACTTTTCGCTATCTCATTTGTATTTTTTTATTCAATGAATCGTCCGTTGGCTACCATAGTTGGACGGTCAACGAGCGGGATAATCTGACGATATATTGCGAACATCAGTGATAACCGCAGCGATAACGTGATGAACGATTTATTTGAATTGGCAGGTTTCTTTTCAGATTCTATTTACAAATTTGCATCTAATTGTAAAATTTATATTGGAACGGTTATTTTAAACGTGAAATTAAACCGTGAATCTTTTTCTCTTTCATAAGGTGCAAAAATAATTTTTAAACTGTGCGATATATTTATTTTCGTTATCTTTTTAGAAATTTAATAAAATTTATTTTTTCAATCATTCAAAAAAAATTTTTAAATATGTCAACCAAAATATTGTGACATATTGTTTTCTTATATTGCATAATGTTTTTGTTGTAAATATATCAAACAAAATGAGCATTTTAAAACACTAAAATTTAAAAATTAATGAATGAATAGATGTTATAATTATATGATTAAATTTTTACTAATTAAAGTAATCGATTCCGAAAACCATCATCTTGCTACATCTTCGATGTTTGCTGGTAAACAATCAATTTTGATAGAATCGATATGCTTTTCGGGGGAAAGAGGATATAACGCTCGAGGATTGCTCTCGCGAATGCAGTTTGTTCTGAATAATCGAGATACGGTCGCTGTTACTGCAATTCGAGATTGACGCAGCTTACGAACGGGTAATTAATACGAACGGTAGTGCAATTATATACGCTGGTACATTAATTCGGCGTAACGCTCGCGCTGACAAACCGGCGGTGCAACGGGCGAATCAATATTTTATTCGTAATTTGTCACTCGCTCACTCGTTCCCGTTACATTCGCTGTGTGCGTATATGTGTGTTAAATACGCGCATATGTGCGCGTGAATTTAACGACCAACCGCGGAGTGGGCGCAATACGCGATTACCATTCAGGCAGGAATTAGTTGCAATAAATCAATCCGAAAGGCGTGAGATTTTTTCCGATGAATAGAACACAATAGCGCCCGTATTGTAAAATAAAAAGAATCAAATTGTAGAAATCCACCGAGAAAGATTCAAATTCTAAGTTCTTTACTTTTATTATTTTCCATATTAAAATTCGTAAAATCTAACAGAAGTTTTATATGTAGAATGAAACTGAAAATTTCTGTAAAGTTCGAAAAAGAAAACAAGTATCAAGCAAACGATTCAGAAAAAAATGCAATTCCTATTTGATTTTATGAAATATTGATATAGAAAAAAGTTGACGAAAAAAATTTTTTTTCAACCCTGAAAATATTGTGATATAATATAATATTTTAAAGATTTTTACAATGCAATTTAATAAAATCAATTAAATTTATTTTATATTTTATTGTAACTTAGTTTTATTAGTAAATGAGAGATTTACATAAGATTCTTCGAAATATAATGTTATGTGACGACCATATTTTCAGGATAAACTCAAAGAAAAAATTCTCTCTGTGTAGCTTTGTTACTGATTAATAAATAGTTAATAATCTCTGTTATAAAATATTTTATGTGTCATATAATTTTTTGTAATAATATATATGAAACTTTCAAAATACTTAATATAATTTTGTACATTAAAAATGACCCGATCAAGAGTCAAAACGTTTGTTTTTACAAGGTTGCCACAAGTCAGGGAAATCAGGGAAAGTCAGAGATTTCAGCGCACTTTTCGGGAAAAATAACATAGCTGTAAAGAAATTTATTTATATCACGACGCCACAATATCGATAAAATCATTTAGCTTTGTTCTTCAAGCCAACTCGGTTGCTAAAAAAAGATCTTTGTTTACAAAAATTTTAGAATTGAAGACTAAGAAGGCAAAACTTTTGGCAGAAAAAACTAATGAACTAAGTACTCTTGATGAAGAAATAACATCACTGATGTCATTAACATTCGATTAAAAAATTTGTACAATTTTTTATGTTGCAGTATTTAAGTTTTCTTTAAGGATTTGAAATTTTAGTTATGTTAAAAAGCTAACATAAACTTATAAAGATTTAAAATGCTTTACTAAAAACATCGAAATTTTAAAGTTGTCTGTTCTTTTGTTTTATATAAGAAAGTTCTGTGTCACTTATGAACAAGTGAGTAAAATAAATATTATTCTATAATTTTATGATTTTTCTTTCAAATATGTTAACTTTTATAAGCAGATTGAGATTTTAATAAACAGATCATAATTTTGATAAAAAAGAAACTGTATTCATTGATTTATGTTCCTTATATTTTAGGTATAGTAGTAAAAAGAAAGAGAGGAAGAGGAAAAGAATCATGTTCATACATGAAAGGAAAAGACAAAAAGTACTATTAACTTAACGATAAAATGTAGTGTATCAGCAACATTAATAGTATTATTTATTAATAGTATTAATAGTATTATATTATAACATTAATTTAATTACACTGTTATGTTAAATTACTCGATCAACAAAATATTTAACAATTTTCAAATCAGGATGAAAATACAAAAAATATTTCAAAATATTTATTATTGAAATTCAGGGAAAATTACAAAATTTTGTCAGTAAAATCAGGGAAATGTCAGGAAATTTTAGGATGAAAAATTTGTGGCAACCCTGTTTTAGTTATTTTGTATATTAAGATTTCTCGAATTAAATTTGTTCGTTTGATTAATTGGCTCTTTGCTCTTTATTATTTATTTATATTGTTTTATATATTTAGAGCCTTATAACTACTTTTATCTTTATTATATATCTTTTCTGGAACGATAATAATCTTTCTTTTCTAAACATTTTCTTAACAATAAGCCGTACAAAAGTATGTTATAAACTCGATCAAATTGTTGTGACATGCTTTATAATTTTTTTTCAACCAAACGGTTTTCTTTTCCGAGTACGTTACGTTTGAATTATTTGAAAATGCAGAGATTGGGTGAAGAGGGGAGAAAGAGAGAGTGACACTGACACTAGTCTCAAATGAAATCAGGATATACGAAACTTTCGAGGACATGACTCGAATAGTCCGTGATTCGTATCGCGATTTTTATATCGAGGTCGCTCAATTAAGCTTTCTCTCTCTCGCGAGCGGCGGCTTTGTATAAAGGGTGAATCCGGCAGGGTCTAATGCTAGCGTTTCCAGGGGTAATTTATAGCCAGCCATTGTACTTCGAATGGCTCTCTCCTAGTATCACCGAGGATACCAGAGAACGGAAAGGAGGGAAAGAGACAGGAAGACGCAAGCGAGGTGGAAGAGTGTAGCAACGGGATGAGCAACAGGAGAGAAAGGGAGGCAGGATCGACCGTTCCGGATACGTCTGACGGGTTGAAGGGTTGCGAGGGGTGCGAGAAGGCTGCGGGGAGTGAAAGGGAATAGTAGCTGGCTGGCTTCTACTACTGGCAACTCGGCGGCATCGCGTATTGTTTCCCATTCTACTTACTTTATGGTCTCTCGCTTTTTTCCGCTTTTACTTGAGCGAACGCACCTAAATGTACGTATAATTTGCGTACGCATGTATTTCTTTCAGTCACCTAAATATCTTATCGAGCCAACGATGTTTAGATACGATGATACGTAAATAGAGATATCTCAAAGCTATCAAACAATCGTCAGTAGATAGATTTGTGATCCACGTTTCCTTAGTTTAATGTTTTATCTCAGCTTTTGCTTCACGCCCCTGAAATTTACAATTGATCTAATTAAGAAAGACTCAACAATAAACTACGCAATCATTTATATGCACACATAAAGTTGACGATAAAATTTGTAAATACGATTATTAACGTTAGGTCTGTGAGGATCATTTAATTTATATGGTTACTAAAAGATTTACTAATTAATTTTAAAAAACTAAAACAATGTAACTCCTAAAAAAGAATAAATACTAAGTTTATTTTAATAACAATAATTCAAATTTACAGATGTTAATATAAAGAATAGAATATAATTGCATGATATTCGAGTTCCCAGGAAGAATACAAAATCATAATGTGATCAAAATAACATTAAATACAGAAGTCATTTTTAGGAAAGGTTACAATGATGTCATTCGATACACTTTTAATATAATGATTTTAATAAATTATTGACATGATCCAAATTTTTCAATGATTTTTTAATTAAAAATTGTTAAAAAATCGTTATAAAATTGAGAACTTACCACAAAATAATCGTCCAAAAAACAAGGTCAAAATGTATGAATGATATCATTATAATTTTTCTTAAAATGTCTTATTAATTCTACTTAATTGATGTTAATTTGATCTCATTATGATTTTGTTTTTTTTTAATTAAAAAAATATTAATAGAGTATGGAATGAACTTAGATAATCTGTAGTGTAGGAATGATATACGGCAATAAATAACTTGATCTATAATACAGATTATCAATGACAATCGAGAAATTACTGAAAGAGCTGTGAGGACCTATATTTTTTAAATAAGTAGATTGAATAAAATGAATGAATTGATGAAACATAAAATGAATTAAATATATGCTGTATTGTAAAAGAAATCTATTATTTTTATTAGCACAGAGTATTAAAAAAATGTACAAATATTAACTTGTGTATAAATAAGAATATTATTAAAAAGATCGATATTTGTGCGAAAACTAGTAGTAGAAGTCATTGCTGTAGTCGGCAGACAATCGGACATCTCCGCTCCCGGTTACGAATGAGCGCGACGCGCGAAACAGTGAGATACACGTGGTGATGTTGTGTCCCTACGGCTATCGTACGGACGGTAATTGTCAATGCCACGTGTAGTTTCTTTAATTTGTAGATGAGCCAGAAGATGTTGATATGCAGCTAACAAATTATCTCCAGTTGACACTGGCGATACTCAAGCCACACATCGTTAAATCCCCATTCGCTCTTCAGGTATGAACCTAACCTCACTTTCACTTGGAGTGAGAATGCTCCACAGGATGGAAGGAACGATCCCGCGATTAACGTCGAGGGAACGAGATTTGGAAGATCTAATGACTAAAGTTCGCACTGATTTTTCAGAAGATTCGCGATTTAATAATTGACAATAATTTCAAAGTTGTCAGATCGCGCAGGGCGACGATGTCTCGCGAGGAGGCCGAACTGTTTTACAAAGAGCACAGGGACAAGTTCTTTTACAATCGTCTGTTGACTTTCATGTGCAGCGGTCCGTCTGACATTTACATTCTGGCGCGTCATGATGCTATTACGAAGTGGCGTCAGCTGATGGGCCCCACCAAAGTCTATCAAGCACAATATATCGCACAAAATACTATTAGAGGAATGTTTGGCCTCTCGGATACGAGAAATGCCACGCACGGATCTGGTAATCAGTCATAATATCGCACATTCCAACGTTGGAATGTAAAACCTTGTGTTTTCAAAAAAGAGACATTAATATTATTCACTTTAGATTCGACTGAATCCGCAAAAAGGGAAATAATGATATTTTTTAAAGACTTTAATATAAACAAGTGGTATAATAACGAGGAGATATTTTATAACTTGGGAAGATTACATTTTGATCCAACATCCTTCGTGCATACCATTGACAAGACTTGAACAAGATACAAAATAATGATGTACAATGTTAATATATTAAATAAAATATTTATTATATTTTTAATAGATAATATATTTCTATCTACATAATTGATAGAAAAATTCAGACTGTGCTTGTATGAAAATAGTCAATATATTTTTCTTCATGTTTGTAGAATTTTTAAATGCTAGACATTAATCAGCTAGTTAATTTTTCGCGCGTGTATATGTATGTGTGTGTAAAATTGACTAGTTTGATGTGAAATATGTATAGCCAACTCTCGTCATTTTGCAACAAAATATACCATTTGTCATTGGATTCTTAAATAATATATAATACGATATTTTAGATTTTGAGACATGGACGGATACTCAACATCTTTATACATACATATTGCGTTCTAGTCAAAGTAACGCGATTATGCATTTATCTTCACGTAAACTTTTGGACGCGAAAATACTTTGATCCCCTCTTCCAGTTTATTCAATTGCTTCTCTATCTCTATCTTGCGCCTTTGTGCTCTAAGAGTATCCGTTTTTATAGGCATCATGTTTAATTCATTGACGTAATCCTGATAATCTGTATTCCAGAAACACAATCCAATGAATTTGAATGATTAAATATTGACATTTAAAGTAAATAATTTATGATTATTGTATAAATTTTGTTATACTACGCACTTTTTTTTAATAATCGTAACGTTTCCTTGCGTTCGTGATCTGGTAATGGCACATGACCCTCTGGACAATCAGAATGCAATGCTTCCGCTTTGGCCTTTTGTTCCTTTTCTTGTGCTTCCTTTCTATCTCGAAGATATCTATTAAAAAAAAAAATTTGTTAGGAAAAAGCAAAATAAGTTAATTAATTTCATTTACTAATTTAAATTGTTTGTGTGTTTACATCACATAATTAAATTGATACAGAATTTTCTAAGAATTTATTATAGTACATTTCATTATATATTTTCTACATTTTATTTTTCTTATAATTGTATTTACATACAATGTATAAAAAATTTAAAGAAAGATTTTTTAAGTTTCATAGTATATATATCTAATGGTAAGTAAAATATTTTAAGAAAATAAACTATATAATGTAAAAGAAATCAATTGAAAAATAGGAAAGATAATATTATAGAAAGCGAAATTAGGTTTGCACTTGGTTTAGACGTTATAATTTTATTTTTATAGCTCTTTATATGAAAAAAAGATAAAATGAAACAGCAAATATTTGCTCCAGTATTCATTTCTAAACCGAACACAACCTTAGCTGAACATCGAGGAAAATTAGGAAAGAAAAATAGTTGTAATATCGTACTTAGGCACAACTCCCTTGCGATAATTCGGAGGTGGTACACCATTATTAAGTTGTGTCATCAGTTTATTAGCAACAGAGGTACGTTCTTTATTTAATTTGATAAAATCGACTTCCTCTTTAGGTGCCGACAACATGGAATTTCGTAAATCAGCATTCTGCAGGTCTTCTGGACTACGCATATCACCTCTATCTGCAGGTGAATCAGATTGTTTCTTTAAGATATTTTCTTTTTGTTTATTTAGATCACCATTGTTTGCTGTTTCGTGCTTTGTAACTTTCTTTGATGGATATCTGTTGACAAAAAAAAGCAGAAAATGTAGAGAAAATGTAGACAAAATCTCACTTGCGAATATTACTAATTTTATTATTAATATTAATAAATTAGTAATTAAATTAGGAAATTAATCAATTAAAAATAAGTAAAAAAGAAATGTCAATTATACTTATAAAAACAACAAAATTATTAAAGAAAAAATAAAACAAATTAAAAAAATGTATTAAGAATTGTAATATACATATTTTCAAGATCTTTTTTTATATTTTAGTCTAATTTAATGTTATTATTAATTTCTTAGAATTGAAATTTATGTAATAGATTCCAATGCAATTACCGAATAACACCTTCAGAATATATACTTTCCAATTGATCTGTATCTAAAGTCTGAATCCCCTGATTTCTGTACTTAAAAGTGCTTTGTGCATCCACACATTCCAAACCATTTGCAGCATTCTCAGGTTTATGCAATACATTTGGTTCAGATGAAACCTTCGGTTGCAATCTCTGCTGATTCTTATGTTTACCAGTTCTCTTTTGTTTACCTAACATGTTATTATTCATTCCTGGTTCAATAACCTTTTTGGTAGAAACAGCATGCTTTTTATCACATTCAAATACATTGGTCCTACTCTGAACTTGTTCATCAATTGCCACTTTGTCAGTTGATACTTGGTCGACATTAAAATAGCTCTCATGTTTCTTCTTGTCTCGGAAGGTAGTGACCACCTTTGCAGATACATTCTGGTACTTGTCTGCACTTCTATGATGTTTATGTAATTGTAACTTCTCTAGTTCTTCCAGTTCTTTATTTGCTTGGAAGCATTGTTCCATTCGCCGGAGGTTTTTTACATTTTCTTGAATAAAATTCTTTCTTCTAATTGGTTCTAATAACAAGTAAAGTATTTAACATTATTAATTATTTCTCATGCAGTCGAATTTATTCAACCATTTTTTTTCTATCTGAAGCACTTCATTCATATGTTATAAAAAATAAAATCTATTCTCTTTCGATCTCCTGAATGGTTATTTGATGAAGAATATGTGATATTACTTACTAGGGTCTGGAAAAATGCCTTTCAATGTCGTCACTTTCATTTTCCTGAGACAAGGACGATATTTGCCAATATTTGTTACTCTGCTACATTTATAATTTACATTTCGGAAAAAGGCACCGGTTTTGGAACATCCGATTGATGTCTCTTTACCGCATAATTTTCGTTTTAAACATACGTCGCGTTCCAACCGTTACCACATAAACAATTTTGTTTACATACCGGATGATAGCTGCGTATAACCTAATATCTGTTAAAGTACAACAGTGTCACCAACATTGAGCATAAAACAATTTATTATAGGTCGGTCATGAAATATTTTTATCGACAGACGGTCAAAGAAGATGTCTACTTTGCAGCTAAATTTTGTACTCTGTATAAATTTGTTTTACTTTTAATATATTTATGTACTATTTTTTATGAGGTTTTGTACAATAAAATTCAGTTATTGTAATTATTGTAATAATAATAACAATAGTATGATATAGTATATAATAATCGCAGAGAATGGAAGTAACTCGTTACTTTTGTAATGACCCAGTGTATAATGAGAATGGATTGAAATGGATTAAAATGGATTCAGATTTTCAGAAATACGGATTCATGAATGTTAAAATGAATCCTTTTCAATCCGAATATGTTTTTATTCATTTATAGGAATTGTATGGAGCATAAGAAAACTTTGTTACATGCATATTATTGTACATGTATGTGGGCGCGCGCGCAAGCGTTATCAAATAAACAATAATGATGAAATGAAAATTAATATGTCCAAAATGATACAAATAAACGAAGTCTAATAATATTTTTGTATAAAATGTACAAATACATTTTCTAGTTTATGCAAATTGCACACCAATTATTTATCTTAAAATCATGTCATCAAATAAATACCAACTCCATAGCTTTGCGATGTACGTGTATGGCATAAATTATCTCTTTATAAATCGTAATCTCTTTTTCAAATTTTTTTTGTAAATTATCAATTATCATTGCTTTTGCTCAATCCGATAGTTGTACATGATATATCTGTCTCTCAGAATTGTAATATTTTCCTGTATTTATTTAATATTATCAATATAATTTTATTTTCAAACATTTGTTTTTTTTTATTTTTTATTAGTTTAGTTTTTGTATTCATTTAATTATTATATTCATTTATTAGTATTAGTTAATTTGGTATTTCATTAGTTTTTTTTTATTTTTGTATTTATAATATCTTCTTACCTTTTTTAACATTCCATATATTAAATATATTTAAGATGTACTATGAGGGGGGCGTCGTTCTTAATGTTGCAGTTGCCCCTATACAAAGAGCTACATTCATGCGTATTAAAGATAAATAGTAATATTTTTCTTGACTGTTAAAGTAAATAACAGCATTATAAATCTGAGGTGATCTGTTCGAAACTCATTCTTGGATTTAATAATGTTAAGAATGTATGGCCACATTGTTATAAAAATAGCAATAGATGTAACAACTATGATCATTAGAGATATGAAAAAGTAGTCACACAAATCATTATTTTTTTCAGTATCAATTTGTTATACATTTCAAATTTAGTGAGTTTATGCTGCGAGATATTATTTTTTAAAAATAATTGTATATATAATGTTGTGTATATCTTAAGTTTTTCTGATTGTTTATATGGCCATAAGGCCAATCATAAGCAGAAGAATTCGGTTCAGACTAAAATACTGAGTCCTTAAATGTCTCATCTCTTGTTAAACATTAAGATACGTCTGACTATAAAATACCGGAAAAGTTTTGCTTATCTCTTTCTTTTGATCAATTAAATCTTCTGTTCATATAAATTTTAATGTTATTTATATAATTGCATAGACAGTGTAGCAATATGAAATTACAAAATAGACCGCATGTAATTTAGTATATTCGCTTGGGAAGAGGTCAGTGGTCAGGTTAAGCGATCGATTTGTTCGTTGAAAAATTTAATGAATGCTTATATTTCTCATAGAAAAGCTTTTACGAGATGACTTTGAAATCGAAGTTTGCGCGCAAGCGTAGTACATTTTTTCTTTTTTCTGTACTTTTAATGCTTCATTCTAGTTTGTGCACTCATCGGATATGGTTGTTCCTTGAGAGAAAATAGCCGACAGTTGGTTTGAGATGTTAACATATCAACTACTGAAAATATTATATATTACCAGTATCAAAGGCTCAAACATTTATTACGTCTAAACTATAATATAATTAATTTTTAATTAAAAACATTAAAAATATTATCTATTAAACCTATTCTATAATATGCTTTTTATTTCCCGTTTTTTGCTATCTTTCATATCTTGTCTTTTGCTTCTTATTCTCTTTCATTTTTCTATCACTCAGGATAAAAGTTAACAAACTTCGGAAGAA